GAGAGAGAGAGAGAGAATTTCAACATTTTTGTCGAATTATTTTATTAATATCATGTGATAAAAATCACACAAATTGTTATTAAAAGAAAGAATTTTTTTTTATCTGCATACGTACACAGATGGAAAATTTCGATTCTAGACAGGAATATTGTTTACTTCAAGATTCATTCTCTCACGCAGAATTATCGTTTAAAATGTTGCCACTTGAAAGAATATCAATTATATTTAAGAAAGTGCCGTTTTCTAATCGTGACAAAACTATGAAACAATTTGCTTTAAATAGGCAAAGTGAAACGTGAAGAAAATAGTTAATGTTGAATGTAAATAGTATTAAAAATAGCGTGTTTATATTACAAAAGAAAAACTAAATATCTTACAGAAGAAAATCACACAATATCGAAATTAATTTCATTAATAATTTAAAGAACAAAAATTACTCTCTTATAAAAAATTTTGAAATACTAGAAACAAGTCAATGTGTAGTGTTGAGTCAATTATTTGAAAAACATCCCTATGTTCAAAAACAACAAATTGGAGAAGAAGATGAGTGATATTAAAGCATGCATTCAATTAAACACTAATTGGAGTGATGGTATTAAGAAGTGATTTCCAAACACAAAAGATACAAGATATCGTCTATATCGCAGAAAAAAAAAACCATAAGAAATTTGTATAAATCCTTTCTGAAAAGAACGTTACAAAAGAAGATGGTAAAAAATAAAAATGGCACCAAATAATATTAATAGCAAGGTAAAAAGTAAAACTAAAGTTCGCGCATTGATTTCTTGTTAAAAATAGAATGTGTCTTACAGTTTTGTCGTAGCCGACAAGTGACACTTTGTTAAATATAATTCTGTAAATAAAATTTTTATGTCAAACAATATTTTTATGTGAAAGAACGCATGTTGAGTGTCTTGAAGTAAGCAATAATCACAATGTATATATACACAATGGATAAGAAAAATTCTTCCTTATAACGGAAATTTCTATTCGTTCAGAAACATAAATAGTGATCGATGGAATAAATAATTATTTAAATTATTGATATATATACACATACACGCTAATATATTCAGTAGTATATATACACTAATATACTCAGCGTGTGTAAATTGTTCTTTTGCCTTAAAAATTTTAAACAATTATTCCTTCAGATTAAAGTTACGCGGGAAAAATGGAAGAAACATAATTCCACGTCGTTTGAATGAATTAGTTCATATTTCCGCCACAAGAGGCAGCGCGAGCGTCGGCGTTCATTAAAGAGATTGCGCAGCATCAAACGTGCCGAGTAAATCAGCTGATCGCGTGATTCTTCGTTCTCGCATTCTACGAAAATTCCCTCCGAGTGTCGTGCTATTAACCGGGCGGATTAAAAAAAAAAAAAAAAACAGACGGAAAGAGAAATGAATTTACCGACGGTCGGAAACAGTGAACATTGTGACTATCGCAGTCCCTTGGCAACGAGATACGCCTCGAAGGAAATGCGCTACAACTTCAGCGATCAACAGAAGTTCAGCACGTGGCGGAAATTATGGATTTACTTGGCCAAGGCAGAGATGGTTCGTAACTGTCGAACAAAATTACCATAACCAGCTTAGCCTCGCGGGAGGATAATCAGTTTCTTTGTTTTTTTTTTTTCTTTTTTTTATGGTTGACTCCATTTGCTTCGCTCGTTAAGGGATAAATACAATTTATACTTTTCTAAGAAAATAATAAGCATTAGGTTAACTCACATTAGGTTCATCACAGTTGGAAATATTATTTGCTATAATATTCGTTCATTACAAATTTAGATAACTCATCACTCCTCTGTATATCCATATACTTACTATTATATTCTTGCATCATGTCAAGTCGTTTCATGAGTTACGTTATATCGTCATTATGTTATTGTAGCCTTAGAAATACATTTTCCAATGGTTATCACGTAAGGCTTATCACGTTTCTCGCAAACAAACAGCGAGACTTTGCAAACGCGTAGCGTCTCTCTTCGTCAAATTTCAATAAATGAATGTCCGCCGTTGGAAATAAAATCATTTGAATTGTCAACAACTTGCACAGTACGAAGAAAGTGGGACGTGCGACGCGGAGGGCAACGTGGAAATAACGAAAACCTTTATCGAGCAAATTAAAGATAAAAAGGTGGCGGGTGGTCGGATAAACGATAAACGATCGAACGCGATGAACAATCAACGAACGCAGAGATCAACCGAGCCACCGATTCAGAAAGGTCGGCCGATAAAAGCCGCGTCGTTCGATTCTTCGAGAAAGTCATCTCTCGATAGTCCAAATGATCGGCACACGATTGAAAAGTGCCAGTCGAGAAGTTCGGTTTGCTCCAATTGCTTGTTGGTGGAGCGTGCGAGGAAGAAGTGGAAAAGCAAGGCAGATCTCGCCTTTCAAGCGAACGACGCGAATGAAAATCTTAAATACAGTCTGGATCACGAATCGAAAATGATCGTTGCTGCAAGTGGTCCGTACCTGTCCCATCTATCTAGGGGAAAACGCTCGAGGAACGCAAAGACGTGGAACGGCCTGCTGCAAAGACGTTCGAACGAGACTTTCGGTAGCATTCAATATTTTTCGAGAAACCAGACAAACGTCCATTGCGATCTGATGAACAATCGCAGAGCAGAATGCTACTCTTGTCATCGTCAAGGTAGCAGTTTCAATTCACCGAGACAATCTCTGAACGATTTCCAATCGGTTAACTGTTGGGACTTGGGCCTCGTGGAAAATTTCTCTAGAGGCTTGAACATTACAAACGAGAACGATGGTAAAAATTGCGTTAACCAAGAGCAGACTGTCTATAACAGCGAACACGTTCGCCACTTGTCGAACAATTCTCTGCATCCTCACCCCTCGAACGAAACTGACCGCCAACTTGCAAATTATCAGTATAACAGTTGCTGTCAACATTTCGCGATCAACGCTGCCGAGCAGAACAACAGAATGGACTACGTTCAATATCCAAATCAAAGTTTCATGTACAACTTGCAAAATGTTCGTGAGTTGCCGGCGTTTCGCGGATATTTCCAGCAACAGTTCTCGTCGAACGACGTGAAACCGGCAGCAATCGGTTCCTTAACTCCCGAATTCCACCCCACGGAGAATTATTATTATCGCAAACAACCTAACGCAAGCGTGTCAGCGATGCCAAACAGATGTGCAAACGATCACAAGTATTTCAACCATCATCTGGTGGTTAACAACTCGCTGCAGCGAAATTACGATTCTCTCTTGTGTACTACGTTGAACTTTGACGAAAGGTTCGCGTACGAGAATCGCATGAATCCTATGAACCCGATGAAAGATACGACGTTCGCAGAAAATAAGATGCAGCTTGAGGAGAAGTTTCGGAAACTTTGAAGAAGATTAATTGCGAGGAATGTCGATTATTACTGTCGAAAGAAAAAAATTATTACGCGATTCTGAGGTATTGCTTCGTTTGGGTGACATTACATAACACACAGATATATATATATATATATATATGTAAAACGTAGTTGAATCCGTGCTAATATTCCCTGAAATTCGATAATAATGAAATGGCAGAAATTGGGATAGAATTATTTCGGATCAAAATTAATTTTTAATGCTGAATGTTTGAGGTAATTGTATGATGTGCGTGCCATTGTCGAATTGATAGATTTTGCTAATCAGTACTTGAAAGAAATTAATGATTCGTCTTCTTTCTCCTCTTTTTTTACAATCGCTACACTATAAAAATTAATTATAAATAACATGGATTATTACTGTAAAAGTGATTATGAAATATTGTTTTGCTTCGTTGGATGCCATTATATAACATAGATATATGTATATATATATAGAAAGCATAGATATTCGATGTTGAATTCACTCTGATATTCTCTGAAATTCAATGTTTGTTTGGATTCATTTATCTTGGTAAATATTCTTGAATGAAAAGTAGAGTAACTAGGAAGAGCAATTTACAATCGAAATTATAAATTTAATGTTCGAGATAACAGTATGATATATCGCGACGTGTGTGCCGAATTGGTCGAATTAGGAGATTTTTACTAATCAGTATTTGAAAGAAATTAGTGACTTGTCTCTTTTTTTTTTCTTTTTTACAATCACTGTTCTCGATCTTGTGATACAATTTTGTTTGTTAAGTATATATACTTAGTGATTTTCTTTTTTTTTTTTTTTTTTGTAGTATGTTCCACTTCAATATTTTCTCCAAAAAATTTCCACATTTTATTGTTCCACTTAAATGTAGAGTGGAGGATTTTTAATTTTATAAGCTGACGTTCCCAGTGGATTAATTTATCGCTTCAAGAGTTTCTATTATGTGGTGAAGTAAACTCGTTTTATACCAAAGAATAATTACAAGCTAGCTACTAATAATTACAAGCTAGCTACTAGGGTAATCGTTGTTTCTTATTATTGTAGTCATAAGAATCTAT